GGGTAAATTGTTTTTTTTTGATTTTTCTTGGGTTTACCACATTCACCATGATAAAGCATACTATATTTCTTAAGACCATTCATCAATATGTCCATTCGATTGTTTTATTGGCCACTAGTTATACCATTGAATCCCATCATGTTGACTTACATTTTTGGATTGATCAAACTCCTGCTTATTTTTTTCGGATTGTTTACAGTAGTCCGACGTGGGATCTACACATTTTTTTTTGTGTTTCTGTACAAAGGTGATGGTCTATCATCCCCTGAAATGCTTGGGATTTCTGTGAATTGTTTACGGAAAATTTATGATGAGGTGGATCTAACACTCAAAGCCATTTTCAAATCATTCTAAATGCAGTGAGCTTTTCTGGGTACCCCCATTGTTGGTACTAACCCTCCCTATCTTTGATTTATTAAATCCAGTAAAAAAAACCAATTTGTGGCACTTGCACCCCTGCTTTGATTGACAACAACGCATCTAATTTAGGGAATGTTTCATATTTCACCCGGAACCTACTAAAGTTATGGTGGTAAATTTCACTTCTTTTTTTTGCAGGGCTATGACAATGCCCTGGTACCCTGGTGATTCCCAAAATAGCTGGTACATGAAAGTTTATCCCCAAAATGACGTTGTAGGTTATAGGTATTGACACGTCCCCATATCCGCCATTTTGTTTTCTTGATCATAATTTTCCAATTTCGGATGATCAAGTCCTTTGACGGTTGCAGCATCCATGTTTATTTGATTTTTGATCATTGAATCATATTCTACCCAATATAAAATCTGGTTGGTGGTTTGGAACCATGGAATTTTATGACTTTCTCATCATATTGGGAATGTCAGTCATAATCCCAACTGACTTTCACTCACTCCATCATTTTTCAGAGGGTAGGGATACCAACCACCAACCAGAAAATCATCTGAAATCATCTGAAACCATCTGAAATCATCTGAAATCATCTGAAATCATCTGAAATCATCTGAAATCATCTGAAACCATCTGAAATCATCTGAAATCATCTGAAATCATCTGAAATATCTGAAATCATCTGAAATCATCTGAAATCATCTGAAATATCTGAAATCATCTGAAATCATCTGAAATATCTGAAATCATCTGAAATCATCTGAAATATCTGAAATCATCTGAAATCATCTGAAATCATCTGAAATATCTGAAATCATCTGAAATCATCTGAAATCATCTGAAATATCTGAAATCATCTGAAATCATCTGAAATATCTGAAATCATCTGAAATATCTGAAATCATCTGAAATCATCTGAAATCATCTGAAATCATCTGAAATCATCTGAAATCATCTGAAACCATCTGAAATCATCTGAAATATCTGAAATCATCTGAAATCATCTGAAATCATCTGAAATATCTGAAATCATCTGAAATCATCTGAAATATCTGAAATCATCTGAAATCATCTGAAATCATCTGAAATCATCTGAAATATCTGAAATCATCTGAAATATCTGAAATCATCTGAAATCATCTGAAATATCTGAAATCACCTGAAATCATCTGAAATCATCTGAAATTATCTGAAACCATCTGAAATCATCTGAAAAGAAACTGAAATATCTGAAATCATCTGAAATCATCTGAAATCATCTGAAACCATCTGAAATCATCTGAAATCATCTGAAATATCTGAAATCATCTGAAATCATCTGAAATCATCTGAAATCATCTGAAATATCTGAAATCATCTGAAATCATCTGAAATCATCTGAAATCATCTGAAATCATCTGAAATATCTGAAATCATCTGAAATCATCTGAAATATCTGAAATCATCTGAAATCATCTGAAATCACCTGAAATCATCTGAAATCATCTGAAATTATCTGAAACCATCTGAAATCATCTGAAAAGAAACTGAAATATCTGAAATCATCTGAAATCATCTGAAATTATCTGAAACCATCTGAAATCATCTGAAATCATCTGAAATATCTGAAATATCTGAAATCATCTGAAATATCTGAAATCATCTGAAATTATCTGAAATTTCCCTTTTTCTGCTGGTTCAATCCACCAGTCTTTCCGGGAACCGACATCTCCCCACATCTTTCTGCGACATCTCCAGGCTGCCACGCCTGCCCCTGGCGCGACATCCAAGGCGGCACAACTGGGAACGATAGGATATCGTGGTGATTCAACTCAATGGGATGTAATAGGATTTTTAATGGACGATTGATGGTGATTAATGGATGATTAATGGACGATTAATGGTGATTAATGGATGATTAATGGATGATTAATGGATGATTAATGGGGTGATTTACTGGTGATTTTAGGTGTTTAATGGGATTTAGTGGTGATTTTTTATGGGATTTAGTGGTGGTGATATACTGGTATTTAGTCTGGATCAACTTAATGGGATTTAACGGAATAAGCCACAATCACTTCAGGATATTGGTAATTTGTATATAATTGTATATACCTGGGCAAATTATAATGATCTCACTTTTCTCCCGAGCCCTGGAATCATGGTTAATAAGGAGAATCATCCCAAAATGGCCCAACAATTAAGGTTGGTGAATTGTTATAATTTACCCAGATGTATGTATAACATGGTATAACTAGTTAACTATGTAGAGGGGGATGAGGATTTCAACAAGCACAATTAAGGTTGGTGAATTATTATAATTTGCACAGACATATGTTTATCTGGATAAGATGGAGATATGATGGGGATAGATTTTACTTGTGGGAAGTGTGATGCATGTGAAAAGTAATGGGATTCAACGATCAACGATGGGGAGGTTGGAGATTTTTTTGTTTTGTTTTTAATAGTATCATATATGATTAGATAGTGTATATATAATTGTGTATATATATATATTTGTATATATGTTTTTATAGTATATAATCATAGTGTATATATATATAATTGTGTATATATATATATACATACTGTGGATGGTTGCGAAATCCTGCATCACCAAACGGATGGTTGAAACCCTGTAAATAATGGGATTAACCATCTATCAACTGGTGCAGGATTTCTTCCATTCACAGTATGTATCTTGTCTGAAAAATCATCGGATGATAATGGAGATACAATGGGGAATTTTTGGGATACAACCATGGTTCAAATGGGATAGTGGATATTTCATCTGGATAAATTATCGGGATAACCAGCAATAACCAACACAAATTGGACATTTAAGCGAGGAAAATTGCATATAATCTGACATAGTCGGGATGTAATGGGGAGACTGGATGAATTTGATCATGACCTCACGTCGTGACGTCACTGGAATGATGGTAAATGTATAATTAGGGGAATCATTCTTGAATGGCCGCAAGTTGCAGTTATTTGCAGGTTGGTGAACTATTATAATTCAAGTAGATTTGTGCTATGGTCAAAACATGGGATAGTCATGTGGTAAACCCAATGCCATAAACTTGCCTTGCATGGAAGTAGTTTTTAGCAACCATTCATGGTAAGTCCTTGGGGGATTTTCTAATTGGCGCAAAGCCACATGAATGGAATTTTCTACTGGGATGACAATCATGTGATTCGATCATCAACAATAGGGATTGGAATAGGGATATATATATACCCTCTGGTAAACAGACATAGCTATTGAACATGGCCATTTATAGTTGATTTTCCCATAAAAATGGTGATATTCCATAGTTATGTTAGTTTACCAGAGGGTATATATATATAGTTGACATTTATGCCCCTGTTGATTGGTTATTGCAAGGGATTTCTTACGATGTGGTTTTTGTTGGGTAATGAGTGTGATAACCCATAATCGGGGATAATCCAAAAAAACGGTGTTGATGAAACATCATTAATTATAGTGGCTTCAGAGATATAGCCATCAATGGGATTTTACTGAGATTTTAATGGGGTATATATATATAGAACTGGGATTTATGTATAAATCGATTTTATTACTATATAAATGGAGTTTATATGATAGCAGATAGCAAGTTTATATAATTGTGTTTTAATGAGACCTAACGATCAATCAAGTTACAGAGTTTTTTTTTTTTATATGACGGTTTTATTGTCGAAGATAGGGATATAGGCGACAAGTGATGGTTGATTGGTTAACATATATATATACATACAATGTGGGGCCCCTTAGATAGCTAAGTTGGTTTATAACTCCAATAACTATGGATTATTGTACTTATAACTATAGTATTCATGGGGTTTAGAAACCAACGTTCACATCACTGGGGGGGCCCCACATTGTAGGAGGTTATACTTCCTGGATTATTGGTGACTATGATAATCCAGGAAGGAACACATGGCTTGATCAACCAGTATTTCATGGGATGGGTCCCAGAATATGGATAGCTACTGTACCAATCAACCAGTACAATGGAATTTGATCGGGGTATTTTTGATGATTAACTTATGAAAACTTGGTGAGATATATGGATCGCAAGTAGCGGAACATGTATCAGAAAAGAAGCACGTAATGTGACGTAGATCGTATGGATATGATCCACAAGCAGGATTTTATAATAGCCATGCTACAAGCAACTTA